AAGTGGAACGTACTTCCTGCTCAATCACCTGAGTGAACTTTACAAATGGTCCCCCCACATATTTACCGGTCCGACACCGAAGAGAGGACACGGGCGCGAGCCAGTTAGTGTCCGATTGCATGATTCTCCCAAAGCAGCTGCAGCAGGTTTCACAACCTGGACTCACAGAAGCCTGGCCCGCGACGGACAGTCCTCACGTAAATCGAAGGACTGTTTACACAGTCCCTTCTGCGGGAGGGCTATGTAGCAGTCTGGATTTTCCCCGGTTTGCCCGTGCAAAATTCTAACCAAACTTATTTCATTGTACACCTAGGCGACCGGTGTGGTTTGTTGAAGTGACTGCTGAGATCGAATGCTTGACTTCCTTAGTGCCATTTTTGCTTGGCGCTCGTTTCGTTTGCAACGCATGACTGCCCTGTGAGCGTGCATTCTCTGTTCCCATAGCTGAAGCGTCAACGGTGTTGCTTTTATAGCTACGTAACAGCGAAGCTGTTATTGTACCAATAAAAGTTCCCTGAAAACCAACCTGCCTTTTCGAATAGCCCTCCTGCCTCCCGCTACAGACTTTACGCTAAACATGCTGGGTGAGATTTCGAAGGGTTCCGGAGATTGCTTTCCGTTTTTCTAACGACGTAGAAATCCGAGTGTTCAATAAACACGTGTTGCTAGTAAGTTTAGGGTATTGTGATCATGCTTTGTGTGAGGCCGTGGGCAGTGAATTTATTTTGGTGCGGAGTCACAACCGCCACGTCGCATTGTCTTTACACAGACGTTTGTAACTTTATAAAAGAAAAACGCGCGCCAGGCCAAAACCCACCACATACTGGAACAATGCCACTGATCAAAATTTAGATAGAATTTTGATAAGTGTAATGCCTTCGTGGGACCGATTTTCCGAACGGCCAATCGCAGTCATGGTACATACTTTTCCGTTGGCTCAGCGGAAAGCGCAGCGGTCTAGTCGCAGCACCTTAACCCCGTAAATCCTAGTGCGCCATAAATAGTTTATAGTCTTTTTATGGCATGATTCCCGACTATCTTGCTGCCTTCGCAGTGTTAAGTACTTGTGTGCAAACTTGACATTGCAATGGTTTAACTTTGTCGCGACCAAGATACGTGGTAGGTACAGTACTTTAGAATCGGTACGCCATGGAGTCGAGACCGCTGGAATGCACAAGGCCGGGTTCACTTGAATTTGGGCTGCATTTTGTTCTGTAGTATAGATAGAAATGTCTCCATGAAACCCTTTTCAATAAAAGTAAAAGTATTTGTACTGTTTCAGTACACAACTACCTTTATTAATACTTTAAAGAAAGTGAGTAAAAAAACTAGTTAACATTATGGACCTTAACTTGGTCGGTATAAGTTTGCACGTGAAGCTGCATGCTCCTTCATATTCAGAAGAGCAAATATTTAACAATCAACAGTCAACAAAAATTTGGAACAAATTTTAGAGTACATATTCAACTGCCACGTCAAATTTGCACTGTAGTGCTAACGCCTGTAGAGTATTTGAAACATTGTGTAAGCAAACGCTCCGCGTGGAGTCCAATTTCAAGGACAGCTTCCTATGGCGTTCGTTGGACAGTTTTGCTAAGTTTAGTAGTTTGTTTGCAGACTTTTGCTTAGTAAGTACGTCAAGTTCGTATGCTATAGCAGCAGGAAGTGTAACTCTTTGCGTTTGAAGGACCACAGTGTCATCAATCGATGTGTCCGCTACTCAAGTCGCAAGTCAAAGGGTCCAGGAAAGATTCTTATTTAGTAGTCTTTGCTTCTATTATTCTAAATCTTTCAGCTAACTTGTTATTAACCGCAAAACTTGCGTAAACTTTACCAGAACTGGGCGCAAACTAAAAGTCACCACCTTCCATCTGTCCCATAAGCTCCCGGTTAACCGCTCTCTTTATGAGAGACACCCCATCCATCGCCGCCGGGCGGATGCTGAGTTCAAGCAGTCTGTAGATCTTTTCCGTTACAACCCACCGACAAGCGATATCAAGCAGTTCGCCAAGGTTCCATTCGGAAAGCATATTACTGGCGATGAGCTCCGCAACGTTCGTCATAAAGTGTGACCGGGTGTTGATTGTAAGTTTAGATTAATGTTTTTAACTACCTGCAGCAAAATTGCATCAGCTTTCAAGCCTAAGGGAAAAGTCGGATTTGCGCGAATTATTTCACAGGAAGGACTATGCACACATATATCGTTCACGCGGAATCAACCAATAGAACTGTTCTGCCGGTCCGCGCCTGTCGTTTATGTAGACGACACACATTGCACTACCCGTTTGTAGTAAGCGGCACTACCTGTTGTTAGCAGCTTCCAAATATACTAGTTTTCAACAAGTGCTGCGCAGGGTTACCACTGGCCAATATTTCATGCGATTCTGCATCGGGAATAGCAGGCATCCTTGATTATGTTGTCCAATGCATTTCAGGAAATTATGGGTAATGCGTTTCCTGTCAGCACAATTAGGATGGACAAACTGGCTATTCAGATGCATGCATCGCGCGCGGCTTTTCAACGTGACATAATGTTTTGCTACTTTCCCACCCGCCAGGCCACTAGATAGCATGTAAGTTGTACCAATGTTACTAAATCTAAACTAAGTATATCGTACGAAACCTAAACTAGAAACTACGGAAAATTAAACCTAGACTTAACGCACGGTGTGGGCAGAAGAATAAAACAAAGTATCCTGCAACCGTGGTTCTATAAGACATATAAAACACAATACATGACTTAAGAATAGGTTTTGCAATCGTAATGCAAGGAGCAGAAACTGTACAGCGTGGGGCAGAGCGAGTATTTGGCAGCGTCACAGAAACATAATAAAATGAATGACCTTGAAACGTCAAGGATGTGTCAGTTTTGGAGTAAAAAGAATAAATATACGATATGTTAAACGCTAGTATGACACAGTAAAGTAGTGTAAATGAGCAAGATAATTAGGGAATACAGACACCGTGTCCCCATGTAAGCCATCCAGGTTGGGGATACATCATAGTTCCTTTTGGACTTTGCACTCCTCCGGCGGTTTCTTATGCCACGCGGTGGCTTCGACGGCGTCACTCTCTTCCTCCTGGTACGCTTCTAGTAGGCACAGCTGTCTGACGACTCTTCTCAATGCACCATTAATTGTCCTTACTAGTGCTTGTCGAACTAGTTGGTCTTTGCTCTTTATAACTTTCTCCACAACACCCTTAGGCTACAGACCTCTTGATGTGCGTAAATCACAAACTAAAACATGATCGCCCTGCCTAAGATCTCCGATTTCAGTTAACCACTTCTGTCTATTCTGCAGTGTCGGTAGATATACTCTAATCCACCTACGCCAAAACATATCGGACAGATGTCTTATCTGTCTCCACCTTCTGCTCATTTTGATTGGTAAATTGATCGGTGGGCATTCGAGCAACTGAGCGTTTGAAAGCGTTAGTAGTTACCGAGGCTATGTAGCATCTTGCGAGTCCGGGGATACAGGTACCGCTACCAAAGGCCTGTCATTCAATAGCCTTTTGATCTGTATGGGTGTCGTTACAAGTACCTTCTCGGTCATAACCTCGCCGTTGAGAAGGTTATGTAATAATTCACGACGTCGATCAAATTAATCGTTCTCAAAGACACCTGCGATAGCTAGCACATAGAGGATTGAACTGCCAGTCAAGCTATGTAGCCAACATAGACTTTGTGATCTTTATGTGATCCAGCTGCTTCAGAAGATTGCGTAATTCTGCTTTAGCTCCGTGGAAATTCTGTCTATTATCGCTGTATATTACTTTCGGCCCTCCGCGTCTAGCTGAAAACCTCGAAAAAGCACACAAGAACGAATCGGTATCCATGGAGTGGGAAACCGCTATGGAAACAGCCCGTGCAGTCAAGCAACTAAATAAGCAGCCACATCACTTTTCTTGTAAGCGGCCACGTTTTACTATCAGCGGTCGAAAATACTCCACCCCCACTGCAGTGAAGGCTGGTTGGTATGTCAGACATTGGTCTGTTATAACGGGTACCATCAGCTGACTCAGCGGCCGCGCATAGTTAACGCGGTAGTTAACATATTTGAAAAGCAAGCGCCTTATGGATGAAAGCCCACCAACGATCCGGTAGCGTCGATGAAGGTCGTACAACGTGCGCTGCGCACCAGGGTGTCCATTGATGTAGTGGTAGTGAAGTATAAGGATGCCAGTGACGAAGTGGCAGCCGGTAAACAAAATCGGATGTCTCGCGTCGTACGGCACCGAGAGTTGATCCAACCTTCCGCCCACCGGAAGTATCCCATTGATGAGGAAAGGCTTGAGTCGTCTTAATCTGCATGACCTCGGTTTTAAACTTCGAACTACTATGCCGGGTTCGTTATATGCAAGGAAGCGCATTTCCTCCACAAAAGCTTCTGACTGCACCAACTTAACTACCTGAAGCGCAGCTTGTCGAATTTCAGCACTTTCTATCTCAGCTAGTTGGTCAGGTGCAGCGCGCCTCAAGTATTTGGCGACGAAATAAGAGTTAAACTGCAGGTAGGTACCGAAATATTTGCGCGGGGAAGTCCATGTCGGGCAGGCCTTAAATTTATTAATCCAGTGCTCCTCCAAAGTGCCCAAGAAAACATGACCAACCTCGGGTCGTAACCATTCAAGCGGTAATGCACCTAGATTCTCCGGATGCATAAGCCATGGGGAAGGTGGCTGAACGAGAAATTGTGGCCCAGGTAACCACTGGTGTATTTCCTTCTTGAGCGACATCGAGAGTCCACGTCAGGCTACACCAGCCGGTTCGGCTTCGAAGTTACGTAGCGCCACTGACTGGGGTGAGATTATTGTTGTATACTGGTAATCCGGTTAGCAACGTGCGTCGGAAAACGCCCATTGACATTTCGAAGAAGCTTCAGAACTACCATCGATACTGTCCAGAAAGTCGTGCTACAATGGAGTGCCATCTCCTCTTTGACTTTCGCTGACATGCGCACGTTCAGTGCGGCAGCAGTGAGCTACAGCATTGGTATCTACACCGTTCTAATGAGACTCACACGTGAGTTACTAATAATAAGGAAACTACTAGCGTTGCCCTCATCAACCTCGCAAGGCAAATATTGAGCAGCACCGTAACCAGCCTCAGACGCATCTGAAAAGCAATGCAACTGCACAGAAGATATACCGCATCCGAATGGATTAATACAACTTTCGACGTACAAACTGTTTAGACCATTGGCTTTTGATAACCATTTGCCCCAAGCTTGCTGATCCTCTGCGGGAAGAGGCTCATCCCAATCCAGCTTCCTTTTTACGAAACCCTGTAAGAGTAACTTTGCCGGAAGTAGCACGGGAGAAATGAGGCCGAGAGGATCATAAACGGAAGCCACAAACGAGAGGATGGCTCTTCGGGTCAACGTTTTATTACAACCTTCCAGCATAAAAGTTAGGTGGCCCTGGGTGATGTTCCAGTTAAAACCAAGCGCAGTTGTAACACAATCGTCCCCAGTCGAATATCTTATTTCGGGAACCTTCAGTTCGCTGTCAGGTAGATGCGCGATAACCTCCTTTCGCTTGCTGATCCATTTCGTCAAATGCAATCTTCCGTCGGACAGAATACGCGTAAGGTGTATAACGTGTTCAGTTGCTTTGGGAACAAAATCAACACTAAATAAACAATCGTCGACATAAAAATAGTTCTCTGCTACTTCTGTAGCCTTTGAGATTCCGAATAACTGTCAACGATAGCTTTCCGTAATGCAAAGTTGGCAAAGCTTGGTGACGAAGTAGCGCCAAACGGATGTACAGTCACGCGGTATTCAACAGGGTGAACAAAGCTTGCCATTCTTCCACCACAGGAACCGCAAGCAATTCCGATCCTTAATAGGAACCTTAACCTGATGAAACATTGCTTCAATGTCGGACACGACGGCGATCGAGTGAAACCTGAACCGCAAAAGCGTCCGAAGTAAGCTGTTTGGCATATCGGGACAAGGTAGAAGTTGTTGATTGAGAGAAGTTCCATGGTATGAAGCTTTACAATCGAAGATCACTCGCACTTTACCGGGCTTACGGGCATGCGATACCGAGTGGTAGGTTTTGTACCAGGTTTCCCCTTTTATCCGCTGTTTCTGTACTGGAGCGAGTTCAGCATATTCTCCAAATATATATTCTTCCAATGCCTTGGTGTATGCTTGCCGCAGCGCGGTATTCTTCCACAAACGTTTCTTCAACCTGGCAAGGCTCAACAGTGCGAATTGTCAGTTATCTGGTAACCGAGGTCACCCGGCTTGCCATGGTAGCGCAATCTCGTAGTGGGTACCAACTTTTCTTTTAGAAGCTTCCATTAATTTTAACGCGCGTCCATCGTTCACAGACATGTCTAGTCGTGGACTATCTAGTCCATCAAATTCCCTTTCATACATTTGCTCTAGTAGTTGATGAAGGTCAACGATATCGCAGTGAAGTGGATTAATCCTCCGTGTTCGATCAACTATCAGTGATGGGGTTTGATCCTCATAATCTCGTGCTGTTTGTTCGGCCCCAGTACGATCCAGCCCAATGGAATTGTAACAGCATACGATCATCAGGATTCCCGCATCTCTGATCTAATGCGCCGTGTAGGTATGGGTTTTTGCAACTAATCAAAAGTTTAACCCTTCCTTTCAGCTCCGGTAACCGTAGAACGGAGAGAGGGGACCATCTGTCAAAATCGTTGTTCCTTTTTCTCATTCCAAGTTTTTCGGGGAGACGACTGACTGACCCAATTGAATCTAAACGGACCGCCATATCCTCATGTATATATCGAACAGTTACACTAACCAACTGGGATTCCACTTAATATCGGCCAGCAACGGCGCCAATGTTAAGTGTCGTCACGGACCCTTGAACCCCGATAACCTGAAGTAATGTCGAATTGATTCGACATTGATTCGACAGTGAAGTATCTGATCCATTATCTATTAAGGCTAATGTTTGAATGGTGCCAGCAGGCCCAGAAACATGCACAGGTAACAAGTCAAGCAACGCAACAGAGCGTTCGATATGACTGAGAGCAAAACTGGATCCATCAGTATTTGGTGTTCCGAAGTTGCATCGATCAACGTGGAGTGGCGGGTGGTGCACCAGCTTACAGTTGTTCGACCTACAGCACTTTCGTGAGCGACAATTTGGTAGGTCATGATTCGGTTTGGGACAAAGTTGACACAGTCTATGAGTGCGACAGAATTCAAGACTTTTGTTAAGGCTGAGATTTCGGAAATCATCGCACTGATCTAAGTAGTGGCGTTGTTCACAGCAAAGACATTTAGGGAAATCTCGTTTTGATGAAGCGGCGATGTTTAGGCAAGCGGCATATCCCCGAGAGCTTAAGCTTCTGCCTCTATCGGTGATGGCCGGTGGTCCGCAGGGACGCGCGGCAAAGGACAAGTAAGTATCGACGACGTCTGCGGTTTAATCCACGAAATCTGTCAAATCAAAGAAGCTCGGTTTGCTTTCGGTGCGGATAACTATGGCGGCATGCTCGGCTTACTTGAATTGTAGATGGTTGGGCAGCATCCTGATGATAGGACTGGTTGTTCTGGACGCGTTCAAATCAGGTTCATACCTCAGGTGTTTCAACCTCAAATAGCATGAACGCAGTTCCACAGCTAAACGCGACAGAGCCGCGACATCATTGGGCCTGATGTTAGGGCCATCAGTCAGAGCATTAATGTGAGTCTCAGCAATCATGTGGGGCCGTCCGATGCGTTTGCGCAAAATGCTCATTGCCGCTTCCAAACCTGCACCAGAGTCGCGTATTAAGCAACTTTCGATAGCTGTTTTGGCTTCGCCACAACAGTACGGTAGCAGATAAGAAAGCCTGGCAGTTGGATCGGAAGTAGTTCTAGAATCATTGGCTTCGCAGTGTTGCATAAACATCCAATAGCGGGCAGGATCTCTATCGAATGTTACCAGTTCACGTTTTGGAAGAGAAGATGACATGCCAAGTCCAAAATCGCTGGATTTGCGTTCCGGACACAGGTTACTGTCAGCTTGAAGGCCGGAGCAAAACGCCACCGACTGGGCTCGAACGCGGGCACCAACGGATGCCGACGGACAAACCAGCTGAGCTACGGACGGAATGCGCGGCCTCCTATTAACAGGTTTCAGAAATGACGAGCAGATAGCAACTTCGGGCGGAAGCACACAATCGTCGGCCGGAACAAATCGCGATCGTTTATTAAAAAGCGCATCCGACTCAAATTCAGGTTCGCAGCAGTCCTTAACATCAACCGTCTTCGCCTACAACGTGCGCATGCTCGTTAAAGCCGACTCCAGCAGACGAATATGGGATTCAGCTCTTCGAAGTTTCTCAGCATCAGTAAAGTTAACAGCATCACGAGAATCACCAGAAACGGGCATGATTGCCCTATTCAACTGATGTACCAACGATACTAAGCCTAAACTAAGTACGTCGTACAAAAACTAACCTAGAAACTACGGAAAATTAAACCTAGACTTAACGCACGGTGTGGGCAGAAGAATAAAACAAAGTATCCTGCAACCGTGGTTCTATAAGACATATAAAATACAATACATGACTTAAGAATAGGTTTTGCAATCGTAATGCAAGGAGCAGAAACTGTACAGCGTGGGGCAGAGCGAGTATTTGGCAGCGTCACAGAAACATAATAAAATGAATGACCTTGAAACGTCAAGGATGTGTCAGTTTTGGAGTAAAAAGAATAAATATACGATATGTTAAACGCTAGTATGACACAGTAAAGTAGTGTAAATGAGCAAGATAATTAGGGAATACAGACACCGTGTCCCCATGTAAGCCATCCAGGTTGGGGATACATCATAGTTCCTTTTGGACTTTACCTAAGTGACAAATATTTGCTACATTCTGTAGACAAACATTAACCGGTCGCGTTATCTAATTCATCGCATGAAAATCTCGGCCCCGGAGAGGGTACATGCTCTTTCTATATGTAATATTCCTGTTCTAGATTTCAACAAAAGTAAACGTTCCTTTAAGGAACAGATCCCCGGTTTGTGCGCCACCTTACATCGCAGTGCTTGTACATTAAAGGCTGGTGGACGAAACAGGCCCAAGCTGGGCTGGAGCACATTGGCCATTAAACGTACAACGGAGCTACGAATGCCAACATTTGATTAAAGAAACTTAACCACGCATCAGGTGGGCTGGTGACGGCCGTTCGCAAAGTCTGGCAGCATTTAAGAGTTTTCCAGAAATAGATTCCTACCTGCATGTGCTTTGTTTCTGTGACAGGCGTCAGCTACTAGAAGGTAACGCCTACCTACACCACGTAGGTTGCCTTCTAACTACCTACGCAAGCAGCCTAGTGATGCATCATTCAGCACAATCCATGTCACAAGCAGTTTGCTGGGACCTTGGAGCTGGAGGGGTATGTGAATAATGATTGATGACACCTCCATAGTTTGAGATATCTCACCGGAGAAATCGCTTCACTATCGATTGCTCCTTGTGAACATGTACCTGTCCATTTTACGAAACCATGTGGCTGCCGTGTGGGCATTTACTAACGGCATAAGGACAGCACGCGCACTCGACCAGTACGCCGTTTCTGACGTGTGCATCCATTTACAGTCCAAATATCTACTTGCATCCGCTGGCTGGCAGACAACTACCTACCGGCCGAGTCCATGTAGTTGCGAATGTTAAAAGTTCCCGTTACGAAACCATTCAAGGCTAAAATCGCACACCTTGTAGATCGGCTGCTAAGTGCTGGATAGGTTAATCCATCCGGTTATTCGGAAATGTACCAAGAGCTTCTGCGAAAGACCAACGAATTGCTTAGTAATTCAGCTGACTTTCAAAGTTTTAAGGAACAATCGCGTTTACCGAAAACCATGGCGTCCGCAGTTTTGGGTTGCATATGCAGAAAGCCTGTTGTGATTGACGCAGTTCTCTGTGCACACAATCGGTTACTTTGCCATTGTAAGTGTTTTCGTGTGTATTTGGGAGCCCGTTGTAAGATTTGTGTCAATGATTCACAAACGGAGTCTGTGCCGATGATAGCAGTGCCTAGCTGTACTAACAGTAAAAACGAAAGCTTTCTTTCGATATTTAGCTACTGGCCGTTCACCTTCACCGGATTTCAAAGTAGACCCTACCCCAACAACCTGCCCCGCTTAAAAAGTTAAGTGGAAGCAGGCTAGCCGAACAACCTCTTTGTGGTGCCAGCTGGGTGGTTCGGGTTTAACCCGTTCCAGCAAATAGTTCGGCGGCAGTGTTCCAGGACGTGGTGGGTTTTCGCCCGACAAGCGTTCTCCCTATAAAAAGCCACAAATGTCTGCTTATCAACACTGTGACGTGGCGGATGTGACTCGCCACAAAATAAAGTCACTTGGCCGTGGACAACCGGAAAATGGTATCCAACTCACGTACATCAGTCGCTTATTCTCACATTCCTACCGATAACAAACAGTCAAAAATTCTGCAGCACGTTCAAAAATACAAGCTACATTCATAGACAATTGGTTGGCGGCATCCGGTTTCGGATTTGCCTGTCACTGTGGCCAGACACAGAATGCCTGCGCCTACAGAGCGACCATGGATGGCTTGCGCTGCACCACCCACAGCTCCAACCACACACCCCATATCCAGTGTAAACCCGAAGGAATAAGACCGGGAGGCATGCGGATGTGAGCCACGTTTCATCAACGGAGCCGGCCCACACTCCTTCACAGGCAAACACAAGCACGCTGTAGTTGGGAATCAAGCGCACACAAGGCGGTGGCTGGACCGTAGTACGCTCCACACTGAGTGCATGGAACCACTCTTCGAGCCTAACACGGCCACAAGAACCGTGCACCCCGTGCCCTCCAGGAACGACCAACTGTCTCCTGGAGCCAGTATGGACGAGGTAGTGGGTAACAGACAGGTAGGCACCCTGTCAACATGCACATCAATCGCATCCACACCGGGGATATCAAACAACAGCCAACCACTTGAGAGAGAGAGAGAGAAAGAAAAAGAGAAAAAGAGAAACACTCGATTAATGCATAAGGAAACGGTGATATAAAACCTAATTAAATAGCATATGTAATAAGGTGTTTACAAACAAATCCTAGCTAAGTGCACGAGGTCAGGAAATATAGTTCACGGAATGCCACGAACACAAATATGCTCCGGAAATTGAATACAATTGGCCTAGGTGAGGCGTGTAAGTTAATGGAATAGAGTACTGGTAGACATTTATGTGAGAAAGAAAAGTATCAAGGCACAAACTGTAAACCCACCACCTGAAATAAAGAGACTTAGCATGCAAGCACGCGGTTAGTAAATCGAATTCAGCGTGTCTACAAACGCTGCGCCAGTGCTGCCTACGTTCACTGCGGGACCCGTCGGCGCTTCGGCAGTGGTCCCGAGTGACCTCTCTCATGGCTCACTAGGCCTGCCTGACTAAGGCACTCGCGACCGCATGTTCTACAGCACCATGCGCTCGACGTCGATGGAGTACAATTCATTGGTGCTTGCCGCTTCCGCACTTTCCGCTTCTTCTCTGCATGCATGAGAGCTTTCTCCCGCACCTCAGCAACTGCCTTCGTGATTAGATCGCGCCATGCACCACGATCAAGCGCCTTCGATTTCTGTGATCTGCAATCAAGATTAGAACGTGTGAGGCTTACTTTAATCATGTCCTGGTAACATAACTTTGCTTTCCCAGCTTGCCGCTTCCCTATACTCACCTGACCGTATAAACGTTGTTTCGCTATTCGCGTCGAATCCATACGGCTCACATGACCGAGCCATCTCAGGTGTCGCAGTAAAAGTATGCCGTCCACTGCATACATCCCACTTCGGCGCAACACTTCCGTGTCTGCAACTCTGGCGCCCCAGCCGATCCGCAAAATTCGTCGCAGACACTGCTGATGGAACCGCTCGAGATATCGCACATCCCGACGGTACATCGTCCACGTTTCACTGCCGTATAGAAGAACGGACAGTACCATGGATTTGTACACCATCAGCTTCGTGCCAATGCTAAGCTGATGGTTGTTCCACACTCGGTACTCAAGTTTCCCGAATGCCACTGCCGCCTTCGACACGCGAATACGCAACTCAACGTGTAGCTGCTGATCAGTCGACATCACACTCCCAAGGTAGCAGAAACGAGAGGTGGTTTCCAATACTTCAGCACCAATGCTGATTTGCGGCAATATTGAAGATTGCACCTCCGGTGAAGGCTGAAAGAGACGGACAGTTTTGCTTGTGTTGATGGTGAGCCCAAATTTGTCCTCTGTCGAAGCCAGAGCACTAGTCATGTTCTGCAACTCATCCGCGCTGTGTGAAAACAACGCACAGTCGTCAGCAAACAGCAACATACGGATAGTTGTCTCACAGACTAGAGTTCTCGCACCGAAACGACGGATGTTCAGCAACCCACCATCAATACGGTGCTCCACACGAACACCGTAAGCACAAGCCGCATCAAAAGCACAAGACAACATTGCATGAAGATAGATATTAAACAGGGCAGGAGCTAACACGCAGCCTTGCTTTACACCAGAGACAACCGCAAAGTCATCCGAGGTCTCTCCACTCAGCTGCACCCTCGCTCGCATACCACTGTGCAGACATTCAATGAAACTTACAAACTTACGCGGGCAACCAAACTTACCCAACACCAGCCACAGTGCCTCGCGGTTCACCGTATCAAATACGTTGGTGAAATCAACAAATAGCGAGTACAATGGCTGGTGTCCTTCTCTGCACTTCTCTTGCAACTGACGAGCCGCAAACACCATATCTATAGTGCTGCGACCCGAACGGAATCCACATTGCTCTTCCGCCACTTTTGGTTCCACAATCTGACTCACGGGGCGATTGAGCAGGATTCGGGCAAGTACCTTGCCCACACAACTCAGCAAGTTGATGCCACGATAATTCGTGCAACATTGCTTGCTCCCTTTGCCCTTGTACACTGGTAGCACAAGGGCATCCTTCAGCTCAGCAGGCACCTCCTCCTCAATCCACACGCGTTGCACCAAGTGGTGCAGAGCAGTCAACAACGCGGGTCCACCGTGTTTCAATACTTCAGGTGGGATCACGTCACCTCCGGCACATTTGTCGTTTCGCAGCTGAGCAAGTGCTCTCTGCGTCTCATCCGGTGTCGACGTATCTGCCAGATCCGCCTTCACATCCTGCTGCTTCCGGCCGTTCAATGTAGGCCAGTCGATCACTGAACGGTTGTTCAAGAGACAGTCGAAGTGTTTCCGCCAGACCTGCATTATGTCTGCAGTCTGGGTGCAAGTAGCGCCTGAACTACCATCGATTAGTGTCCTCAGCGGCTCCAATCTCGGTCCATACACTGCCTTCAAGGAGTCAAAGAATTCCTTGTGTTGACGGCGTTCGGCGTAGCAATCCAACTGCTTCGCCTTCTCCGTCCACCATGCATTTTTAATGCGACGGAGCTCTCGGGTCAGTCGCCGTCGAAGTTTGCGAAACTGACTACTCTTCCCCAAGTCACTGGGGTCAGCCACATGTGCAGCAAATGCTGCATTCTTCTCTGACACCAATGCGTCAATCGTTAAATTGTTGTCATCAAACCAATCAGGCCGCTTACAGTTTGCTCGCCCAATGGTCTCCTCGACAGCAGCTGTCACCTGGTCGCGAATGTGATGCCACAGGTCGCCCACTGTGGCTTTGCAGTCCACATCACCACACAGGCGTGCAGCCATCGCCTTCTCCAGCTCAGTACGTTTCGCCACAGTACCGAGGGAGAGAATGTTAAATTTACGCCGATTCACGGCGGGAGTGCAATACATCGATTTACGAAAATATACGTACGGTTTGGTCCGAACCAATTTGTGATCAGTACCACACTCAGCTCCACGCAGTACACGCGTCATGCGCATTTCACGCATATCACGCTGACGTACGGTGACATAGTCGAGCAGGTGAGCGTGACCACTCCGTGGGTGCGTCCAAGTTGCTATATCACTCGCACTCAGCACAAACCGCGTGTTCGTGATCGTCAGGCCGTGCGTGGCACACAGTGAGAGCAGCCTGTCACCGTTCGCATTCGCTGAACCAATGCCATGCGCACCGATAACATCTGTTCACGCTGATGCATCACGCCCAACGCACGGGTTGAAATCACCCAGCAGAAATAGTCGGTCGCTCGTCGGCATATATCATATCACGGAGGATAGCTCAGTGTAGAACTGATCACGCGTGTCATCAGGATAACACACGTGCTTATAAAAGTAGCAAACTTACCTCTTCCGAGTCGCAGGCGAACAGTCATCAGCCGCGCGCTGATGCCCGTTGGTTCACCCACCAGCTGGCTATTCAGGCGATCGGATATTGCAAATTCGACCCCATGTTCACGTGGTGCTGAGGCGGCGTTGCCCACCCAGTAGAATGTGTAGCCAGTACCTGCTTCATGTAACTTTCCTTGCTCAGCGAGCCGAGTTTCACTGAGCGCCGCAATATCGATGTGGTAGCGCGCCAACTCCATTGCGACCAGTGCAATGCGTCGCTCCGGGCGCTCGCTGGAGTTCCGGTCCAGTAGTGTGCGCACGTTCCAGCACCCGATGCTGAGTGCTTTGCGCGCAGGCCTACGATTGCATTGGTGGGCAATCGCACGCGAGGTGGTCGTTGTGCTTCGGAGGTCTGCTTGAGGGACTCCACCCGGAGCCTTTGGCTCAATAGCCTGACCCACAAGGCAGTGGGTGGTTTGGAGGTTTGCTTGAGGGACTCCTCCCGGAGCCTTTGGCTCAATAGCCTGACCCACAAAGCAGTGGAGAGCAGATCCAGCTCGGGAATGTGATTGCAGAGACAGATTGGGATCTGCTTGACGGCCGTCACACGCAGCCTTTGAGGTTCTGGAACAATTATCATATGTTTTGCGACCGTAATTGGATACGCGCCTGCGACCACGGTCAGACGCAGGTTGGTTTTTGGCGGGTTTGCACCAATTTGACCAGGGGCTGCCTGGCTTGAGGCGGGCAGTAGCAAACCATCGAACACCCGGAGGTGTCCTCCCACCATCAGCGACAATACGTGGCACTCGCGCTCTACGCCAATCGAGCATTCAGATTATAACCCGTAAACCTGTTGTCTCCCATGGCTAGATTTTACGGGAAGTGGGCCATCGACCACTTCCTAACCGCCGGAGAGGATGGACTAGGATACTGCCAGGGCGCCCCCACCTGACATGAGAACGACTCGGGTCCTCAGCCAAAGCCTTCGATTAAATGAACACCCGAAAGGCAGCGAGTCTGGCACATGGTCAGTTAGCTGACTCATGCGGATTGGTGTCCTGGATCTTAGCAGGGAGAAGGGCGAAACATAACTCCCACCCAGCGGTCGCCACGTGGAGGCGCCCAGCACATGAGACTATGGCGCAACAGTAGCAGCAGAGGGTAGGCCATCTGTCAGGATCTAGCCACCCCCAGCCTCAGCGCACCATAGGCTCTCCCGCCAATTACATACATATATACACCCATACACTTACATTCACTGTTATGCCAAACATGTACTCTTTGTACATTTTGATCACACTATGTTAGCTAAACATGATCATGCCTGCACTGGTGTGCCTCGCATTGTCGAGAATAAAAGTTTATTCATTTATTTATTTAATAATATCCCGCGCAGGCAGCCAGCATGAGATTCCCAAAGATCCGAGCATACCTCAGCAAACCGTACCTCAAAGTGTAGCACCTGCACTTTTCCTTAACTTTCATCGCTCAGTTATCGAAATAAAACCGTCGGGTTCCCCGCAACTGGCGGTATTGTGCAGAACACAGTGCCCCAGTAAGTTCTTCTGTACAATTTGAACTCCCATGTTTACTTTATTGTAGCGTCGACATGGTTGCAAAACCAGTAAATGAAACGCTGCGAAGGAAAATGTGTTCAGCTAAATACTCTCCTTCAATTGTCTGCCAGTAGGCAGCGCTTTTACACTACTATTATATTTTAGCCGACGAATACGACATTGTGTAGATACACTGCATGAGACATGAGCGTCCAAGCCACGTATTTAGTAAACAAAGCTGAAGTTTTAATCATACTGCAATATGATTAATACGAAGCACAACGTTTATCGCGGTTTCTGCGCTCTTTCGGTACTAAAGCGATTCTAATAATTAGCTGGATTTGCGGCACGTTTGGTGTCAATGCATTAGGACCTAAGTGAGTTGTAATAGCACTAGGCTCCGATGCAATTTCTCGTAGTATGGAGTAGTCATCCATGGCCCATTTAATGCTAATGTAATCGGAGCAAGTTTGGTTGTTATAGCACTCGACACCGAGGTACGTGCTCAAAAGATAGTGGCTCCGTCAGCAGCATACTGACGGTATATGCTAAAGTTGCATCAGCTAAAACATTCCGGTTGACTTAAGAGCAACCAAATTGGGTTCCGTTTGGGCGAGTTTCGGCCATCCAAAGTCAGTTTAGGTTTAGCCTGACGGCTACTGCTTTGCTTAAGTACAAATGCGAGGTAGGTTTTAGCTCCATGTTTACGATATTGCAACCTTAAAACTTTCATTTCGGTTCGTTAGGGCGCCTTGGAAAATAGGTTGCGTGATCAACCTTCCGTCTATTTAGTGTACAATTCGACCCCTGAGGGCCAAACATTTGGTCATTCAAGGAGCAATAACGCCCACTCTAGGGACACGTTTTCGCTGCTCGCGCGAGTGGGATGCATTTACCGTCAACGTTACGCGGAAATCGCTTCCAGACCTAAAATTACGTATTACACCAGCCATTAGGCTAAACAGGAAATGTATTTAAATAACCGAAACACGTCTCATAAGCCGATTGCTACAAACAAAGACACGATAATTTGTCATTCAAGGTGCCCAAAATCTCAACAGCGCTAGCAGAGATTACGGTTATAAAGGAGAGAATCTTATGCAAGGAACGGCGCCGATAAGAATTTAGAATAATAATTAATAACGTCTATGGACATACCAAGCCATTTATATTCATATTTTTGCTCCTCCGCGAGTGACCAAAGCCACGCTCCAATGGGAGGGCTCGCTTGCCGTTTGTTCAGATAGGAGGATAATCCATAGGTACCATATTTCTTCAAAGGTTTCCCATGATTTTAAAAACTCTTCTCGGTTAAAGCAGCCACTTAACTGTGGTTTCAAGAAGATATCAACTGCTACGAAACGCACAAACCCAAAGTGGTACTTATTTCAGTATATTAATACAGCATTCCACATAAAATTTACGAGGCTCTCCTGTCTGCACAACAAGAGATTAATTAACTAGTCCAGGACCAAACTCTCAGTGGACGACAAGTATCTTTAATAAATAGGCTCAGAAAAATATGCTTATATTTTATACCTAATGGTGCATAGTTACTACTTTAGCTACTAATACTTTATTAGTGCCGCACATGTTTAAATAGAGCCGCTTGCAGTACACACTTGGTTGTTTCACCATCATTACATGGACGAAAATTTGCGCGAGTTGCCTATTGGCACTTGTGCAACCTAGCACGCACAGCTGATTAAGTAAGCACTAGTTTGCATGCATTTCAAAAGCGTCTTGCTGCACTTCTGCCTGCGTGTTCTTTACGTCCAAATTTGTCTATTTAAGGCGCTGCTAAGACAATTGAGGGACGTTTCACGGACTCTCTTCGGGCGCTTATACCGACGGGGCTGTCCTAAAAGATTGTTTTCTGGGTCCAAGTTGCAAAAACCCAATGTCACAAATGGACTTCCAAGACTGCGAATTGGTTGCATGCAGCCTGCATGAAGACAGGCCACCTGTTTGATTTTTAGCATGAAACTACGCTCGCTATGCAATGCTGGACATACGGACGTTGATATTTGATTGTCCAAGGTTTTTACCAAATTTGCAACATCGTTAACCGTATCTAAGTGCATTCGAATCCGTGACAAGAGCTTATGGCATTTAGCGCACTAAAACGCAGTTTTAAAGGTACACCAAACTGGTATAACCAACTCTAGAGGTCACGCCTCACGCCCGTCCAACCAAACAGCAATGTTCACTATCTCTAAAATACACTGCTAGGCCTGATACTACTGGGCAACTCGCAGTACCGAACTACTTCGCAAACGGACTCTAAAAGGTCCAAAATATGCTGCGTTGTTTGATACCACAGCTGTTGTCTTATGCTAATGGGCTAATACAAAGTGATAAACACTTGAATCCAACCTTGCGTATGTACATAGACATACAGTTGCATTATACAGTTTTTTCAATGCTAAAGGTAAATTATTTTTCTTCTTAAGTCTTATCAATTCA